AGGAACTAACAAGGGAAGTTAGGAAGTATTTTGATTGAACGAAAATGAAACCTGGAGCATTGTGGGATGTAGCTACAGCAATGCTTGGAGGGAAATTTATAGCAGATGTTATGTAGAAAAGAAAAACCTGTTTCAATTTAACAATTTAAGCTTCCACCTTGAACTGGGAAAATAGCAAACCAAATATATAGCAAGCAGAGGAAAGAAACTGTAAAGAGCAGAAATCCATGAAATTGAAAACCAGAAGTAAGAAAACCAATTAAACCAAAAGCTGGTCCTTCGAAAACATCAAGATTTATAAGTCTCTAGCCAGAATAATCAAGGAAAAAAAGAAGACACAAATTACCAATATGAGGAATACAAACAGGCATATCAGTATGGGTCTAAAAGACGCTAATGCAATATTAAGAACAGCTATTTTTTATAGATTTGACAATTTAAGTGAAAACACAAATTCCTTGGAAGACAAGCATTACCATAGTTCGCTCAAGAAGAAATGGGTAACCTTAATAGTTCCATATTTGTTATGAGATTGAATTTATTGCTAACCTTCTGACAAAGAAGCCTCCAGACCTAGGTGGCTTCACTGGTACGTGCTACCAAATGAAGAAACAATACCAATTCTATATGGACTGTTCCCGAACATAAAGAGAAAGGAACACCTCCCACTTATTTTATGAGGCCAGCATTACCATAGTGGCAAAGACATGACAAGAAAAGAAAACGGGGAAAAACAGAAAAGAAACCACTCTCCCTCATGGATATAGACACAGAAGTCCTCAGTAAAACATTTGTAAGTCTAATGAAGTAAAAAGGATAATACATCATGACCAAGTAGAATTGATCCTAGGATTTAGGATTGGTTCAGTATTCCAACATTCACATAATACAGCATATCAAAAGACTAAAGAATGATATTGACCATCCTACTAGATAATTTGACAAAATTTAGCATTCATTTATGATAATAAAAGTGCTCAGCAAACCAGGAATTGAAGGTTAACTGCCTCCTCAAAAAACCTAGAGTTATTAACTTCATACTTCCTGGTAAAAGACCAAATGCTTCCCCTAAGATTTGTAATAGGCAAGGGTGTTTTCCTATTACCCCTCAGCATCATGCTGAAAATCCTAGCTAGTTCAAGAAAAAGTAAATAATTATCAAGAGACTCCATTGCTACCATGAGAAAAATGAAACCACTTTTTAGGTGTTATCTTAAAAGTAGTATTTACACACAATTCTTTTATCTGCTCTTAGCTTGCAACCTTTGAATGGAATTATAAGTTTATTTTTCTATTGTGGCTGCTGACCAATCTAAGCAGTAGCAAACATCTTGCAGTGGCATGGTGTTTTTAATTAGCTGTGGAATGCTTGGTTTTAAAATGAAGAATAGGAAGGCTAGAACTTGGTAAAATAAACACCACACAGTCTCTTACTACATAAAGAAAGAAAAAAGAATTGCAAATCATCTAGCTCATTTAAAGGGAATGTTTTGTCTCACAGTAATTTATTACCATCAAACTAGTTTATTATAATTTGTTTTGTAAACTTCCAGAAACTTGTCTTTGAATATATTAAAAGCATCCAAATCTTGTTTGAAGAATAACTTGTTCACTTTTTGAGGGGCAGATCCACAAACTATTTACTGAAAGATATGCATTATAGGAAAAGTATAAAATTGAAAGTGATGGGTATACAGTTGAAGCTACTGAAAAAAATAGAATTTGACAATAAAATAACAAGCAAAATAATGAAATTCATATTTCTTGTTTTTGTTTTTAATTTTTATTGATTTTCGAGAGGAAGGGAGAGGGAGAGATCAAAACATCAATGATGAGAGAGAATAATTGATCAGCTGCCTCCTGCACACCCCCTACTGGGGATCGAGCCCGCAACCCAGGCATATGCACCAACTGGAATTGAACCCGGGACCCTCTAGTCCGCAGACTGACTGTTTTTGAAGTAATGTAAGAGTTTAGAAATTTGTGTGTAAATTAAATATACTGGGATTAGGATAGAGTAAGGGTATGTTATTGTTTTTTATAGCTATTCTCACATTTTCTAAGTGCTGTATGAGCTACATGAAGATCACAACAAATTGGTATGTTTTTCCCACTAGTGCTCATCTTATTTGTTTGTTTTGGAATGCCGGTAATATTCAAGGCAGAATGGACAGAGGATGTCTAGAATGGTAATAATGAACATTTGCATTTATTAAGGTCTATCTAAGTGCTAGGCACTGTTCAAGTGCTTGAAATGTATTGTTTACTCAGCAAAGTAACTGTGAAATAAGTACTGTTATTACCATTGTATTTACCGGAGAATAAAATGAGGCTAAGTCAAGCATGTCAAACTCGCGGCAGTTTGACATGCTTAGGCTAAGTATTGTACCCAAAGTCATGGTCCTCACTCTCAAAGACCTGTAAGGGGAACGGAAGATAAATTCTATAAGAGAAGTATAAATGGACTATTAGAATACATTATTTCTTTTTATTAACATTGGAGAAAACTGCTTAGAAGAGAAAATGCCATTAGAGTATGGCATAAAGTATATAATGTGTGGAGGATGTGGAACAAGCAGAAAAGGCACAGCAGGTAAAGAAGTGGGAAAGTTGGGGGTGCAGTTTTGTAGATTGTGATCCAGTTTTGCTAAGTGTTAAGTTTCGAGGAGTAATAGGAGCCAATATTGGAAAGGTAAGTTGTGGTCACTTTTGAGCTTTCAAAAATGCCATTTAAGTCAGTTTGGATATTTTTGTTTAAGCATTGGAAAACTTACTGAAAAAGTAAGATTTTCTGAGGTGAAAAAAAAATAAAAATAATAATAATAATAATAAAAAAAAAAGATTTTCTGAGGTGAGAGCTAAAAGGCACAGAGAACTATGCACTTAGTTGAGTGTGGAAGCTACTGACCCTAATCACCTTCCAGTGTGTATTTCTCTAGTAACGTAAGATTTTTTGCTTTGCAAAAATCCTTAGCCAATTATTCTAACTATAAGATAGAATAAAATATTCCTAACTCTAAGGTTAGATTAGCTTTGCTGGAAGTATTTTTAAATAACTTTCTACATAAAATATTCAAAAAATATTTATCTAGAATATGGAGACAAGAAGACAAAATTCTGGTTCTTAAGATAGTCTTATGAAATAGGTGGTGTATTTGTTTCTTATTGCTGCTGTAACAAGTTATGCTGTAACAAAAATGCCAATTTATTCTCTTAAGTTCTGGGGGTCAGAAGTCCCTAAAATTGGTCTTTGGGACTGCATTCCTTCTGGAGGCTCAAAGGGGAGAATCCATTTTCTTGCCCTTCCCAACTTCTAGAGGTTACTTGCATTCCTTAGCTGGTGGCCTAAGCTTCCAATTTCAAAGCCAGCAGTGTAGCATCTTCCAATCTGTCTGTAACTCTTCTGCTTCTGCTGTCATATCGCCTTCTGTGTCTGTGACTCCCCTCACCCCCACACCCCCACTTCCCTCTCATAGGAATCCTTATTAGTACATTGGGCCCTCCCATATAATCCAAGATTATCTTTCCAGTTCAAGATCATTAACTTCATCATATCTACAAAGTCCCCTTTGCCATGTAAAGTAACATATTCACAGGTTCTAGGGGATTAAAATGTGGGCATGTTGGGGGGACATTATTTAGCCTACCACAGGTGTTATACATGTATATTAATAATTTAGTACAGTATGATAAGTAATTTGTCAGGAATAATATCCATAATGTTGGGGGTTCTCAGGGTTTAAGCAGCTCTTGGTTTCATGGTTGAACTGAATCTTGGAGAATAAGTAGGAATCCATCAGGGGATTGGGCTTAAACTGGCAGTCGGACATCCCTCTCACAATCCGGGACCGCTGGTTCCTAACTGCTGGCCTGCCTGACCACCCCTAACTGCTCCCCCTGCCAGCCTGATCACCTCTAACCACCTCTGCCTGCTGGCCTGATTGCCCCTAACTGCCCCCCCGCCCACCGTCGGCCTGGTCCCCCCCAACGGCCCCCCCCCCCAGCTCGCCTGGTTGCCCCACGCAGCCTGCTTGTTCAGTTGTTTGGTTGTCCCTCACTCACACCCCTGCCGGCCTTTTCACCCCACGCAGCCTGCTGTTCAGTCGTCTGTCTAGTTGTTTCGGTCGTGATGGCCCCTGGCTTTTTATATATTAGGACAGTACACCAAAGTAAATAATTTGTGAACAGAAAGATCTGAATTTGAATCTCAGCATTATGATTATTCTTTGTAGCCTAGAACAAGTTATTCCAGCTCTCCGAGTATGTTCTTTCATATATTAAATGAAGATAATAACAGCCTCGTGGATTCTTGAGATTAATATTTATAACATGTCTGATATATAGGATGTGCTCGTGAATCCTAGTAGCTATCATTGTTCTTGGTAATGATTACAAATTAGCATTTGTAAACTCTGTATTTGTATACTGTGGTTTAAGAAAGTATTCTGCTTATAAATTGGTATTTTATATCATGTTTTAAACTAGTTATTAAGAGTTAAGAGGTACTTTAGTGTAGTGGTTAAGACTCTGGCCTGGCTGGTATGGGTCAGTAGTTGATCGTCGACCCACGAACCAAGAGGTCACTGGTTCGATTCCTGGTCAGGGCACTTGCCCAGGTTGTGGGCTTGATCGTTAGTATGGGGCATCAATGTTTTTCTCTCATCAATGTTCCTATCCCTTTTCCTTTCTCTCCCTAAAATAAGTAAAAACATTAAAAAAAACAAAACAAAACAAAAAACATAGACGCTGGGTTCAAATCTCAGCTCCAGGACTTATTACCAGGCTGTTCTTGGGCAAGTTACTTAAGTGCCCAGTTACAGCACTTTCCTCAGCTTTAAAATGGAGGTAGCAATACCCCATTTCTCCCAGGGCATTATGAAGAGTTTACCAGGTCAGGTATATATAAAGTTTAGAATAGTTGCTGACATAAAGTGCTTTTGTCATCATTATTTTTAATAATTTGTTGAGTAAAATATTATTTTTGTCACTTTTTATTTTAGGTGAATCTTGGAAGCAACCAGTACCTCTTCTCTGTCATAGTGGATCCTAAGGAAATGCCCTGCTTCTGTTTGCGCCATGACGTGGATGCCCTGCTCTGGCAGCCACACTCCAGCAAACAAGACGAGATGTGGGAGCACATCGCCACTTTCAATGCTTTAGGTACACAGCAAGCTCTTCTTCCTTTAAAAAACTTGAGCTGTCCTAATTACATTGGGATTGATTTCTGCTATAATTTGGTTGCTTGTACTCTAGTTGATGAATGTCAGTGCTTTTGGAACAGTAGGACTAAGCTGTTTTATGCTTGTACAGAAGATCAATGCAGAATAGAAATCAAAGTGGTTAACTAAACACTTGAAATATTGCAATCAATCATTTGTTTATTCCAATTAAGCTATACGGTATTAGAATATGAACAAGGAGTTTGACAATACCCTACTCAAGCATGCCAAACTCGTGGCTGGCGGGCTGCATGCCTCGTTTAAATAAACGAGGCTTACATGGATCTTGTATTCACGTTTCCTCAGAGTAATCTTCAAAAACATAGAATGCACATTAGGAGACATCTTTCATGGGACAAAGTGCAAAGAGAGCCATTCTAAATGAAAACATTTAGGGAAAATGGTGATAAACAGAAATAAAATGTATTCTATAAGATAAAGGGGAAAATACCAGTTTTTTTAAAACTAGGGCTGGAAAAAATTTTTAACTATTAGTACATAATTGTAGACTTACGCAAGAATTGATTTTATATCAAAATACATTAGTATTGTGTGGGAGACATTTTTTACATGAATTAACCACAATAACTGCTTTATTGAAAGGTTATTTTAAACTGGCAACAGGAAGTAAAATTATGCATTTTGATTGTTATATGTGCAAATCTCCTATTGGGGAAATTTGTTAGCTCTCCTTTGAGGTAATAATATAGCTGTTAAACTGGTTAATTCAGACTTCAAATGGATTTTTATGACCTAAAATAAAGTTTAAGTAATTTAGCTGCATATTTCTAGCCTTTCCACTATAATTCCTATTTTTTCATTTCCTATCCTCTTTTTTAGTCAGAGGAAATGCTTACCATAATTTTCATAAGCTCAGACCCTCCATTTGTAATCCCCAGATTCCCTAGTGTAGAAGAAATGTGTTATGCTTGAGTTTAAGGTAAATCAACATTAGAGATATTATATACATTATTAATTTTGTCAGGGTTAGCCCGGAGAACTAATTCTAAGCTACTCAAATAGGAACCTACATCCTGTTTTTCCTTATCACAGGATGTAGATAATAAGAAAAAAACAGTGTTCATCTGCCTGTGCTCAGTGGTTCCTTTGCTCATTCATTGTTTGATGAACTTAATTCACTTTAGTGTTACATTTTTTATCTCATGTTACAGCTGAAAATCCTAATTTATATATAAGCTTTTTTAATCTGTAAAGTTAATTGTTAAAAAGATTAATACTGTTTTTTTTCAAAGTTTAATTAAAGGAAGTCCTAATGAAGTTTTATAAATTAGATACTTGAATGTTCTTTCAAGTTTGAAGTGGTCTCAAGGATCTACTTCTGGGAGCTGATTTACAACAAAATTCTGTTGTAGTGTTGGTATGTAAAAATACTAGCACAGAAATAGAGAGAACATATTGTGCATATTAGTACCTTCAGGAATGAGGCCTGTGTTATGAACACACCCCTGAAATACCTTTACTTATTGGTTGTTAAGAAAAAAGAAAAAGATTGTGTCATGACCCATTTGTGATTGATGAACTCAATTATCTAATTGGCATTTAAAGATATTTTGGTATGTTTTTAGCGTTTAAAATTTTAGCTGTTTAGTGTTTTAATTATTCATGGAAGTCATATGGTGCTATGTAGTTCCTTTCTTGAAAAGTTGAAACCCTGTCTATTTTGTCCCTTAGGTATTAAAGCTGTATTTTTGCACCAGGTGGGAGAGATTGATTGTGGCTAATCATTAATAGTTCATTGTTGAGTATTTATGATATATCTTTAATTTAGGCATTTTAATTAATAATGAATCACAGCTTTTCTCCTTCTGTTTAATATATAGTTTTTCTTTTGTTTGTCTCATTTGTTGGCAGGCTATGTCCAAGCATCAAAGAGAGACAAAAAATTTTTTGCCTGTGCTCCAAATTACTCCTATGCAGCCCTTTGTGAGTGCCTGCGTCGAGTGTTCATCTATCGTCAGCCCACTCCCATGTCCACTGTACTTTACAACAGAAAGGAAGGCAGGCAAGTAGGGCAGGTTGCTAAGCAGCAAGTAGCAAGCCTGGAAACCAATGATCCTATAGTAGGCTTTCAAGCAACAAATGAGAGATTATTTGTTCTGACTACCAGAAACCTCTTTTTAATAAAGGTGAAAACAGAGAACTAGTTACTCCGACATGTTGACTCCTCTGTGCTGGGGAGTAGGTGTCAGTGGTAGCTGGAAGTCTGGGCAGTCATGCTGTAACCTGTTAAGTTTTCATGTGTTAAAGAAAATGATCTTGTATGAATTTTTATTTTTTAAAGGATATTGGAAATATATTCAAGAGATTATGATTCTATAAAAGCTGAAAATTTAGAGAAAATTGGCTTCTGTAAAAAAAGTAGATACCATTAGCAGTGTAATTATTTTTTAAAAGCAGAGGCTAGAATATTTTATATGAAAAAATGTACAGTTCATTGTTTAAAAATAAAAATATTTATCATGTACTCTTTGTTCATTGACATCATTTCTACATTCTGTACCTATAGAATGTACAGGATAATAGTTAAAATGTTGATGCTTGTAAATAATGAACTGAATAGCTGAGGTAGAAGGGGAAATATAACAGACATCTAAGCAGATCTAATATTCTTGAAGTTTGCTGAGAGACCTTAAGTGTGTTTTAAGTCACTAAATTTGTGGTAATTTGTTAGAACAACCATAGGAAACAAACAGTCTTATCCCCAAATTAACTCGAAATGGGTCATACATCTAAATGTAAAGCCTGAAACTGTGAAACTTCTGAAAGATAACAAAAGCAAATCTTTGTAACTCTGGGCCACACAAAGGTTTCCTGCATGAGACCAAAAGTGAGGTCCATGAATGAGAAAATTGAAAAACTGAACTTCATCATAAGAAATTATGTTCTTGGAAAGACAGTTTAGGGAATGAAAGACAAGCCACAGACTAGAAGAAACTTGCAAGTGCATATCTGATAAGGGATTAATAACCACAATATATAAAGAATCCTCAAAACTTAGTAAGAAAATAATCAAATGAATACTTTTTTAATGGGCCAAATTATTAAAGAAACATCATCTCAGATAAGATACATGAATGGTAAGTAAGCACATGAAAAGTTGCTCAACATCATTAGTTCTTAGGAAGTTGCAAAATGAAAGCACAATGAGATACTACCACATAGCTACTGAAATGCCTCAGGTTTAACACATTTCGTACCGCTCAGGAGTTTTCTCGTGTTTCTCGCGCCATCTGTTAAGGACCGCTCACGAGTGTTCTCGTTTTTCACGCCCATGGAAAAAGGAGCGAATCTAGATACTTATGTAAATTTTGTTTGGTCCCTCTTCATAGAGGAAAATGTTTTACGCAGTACCATACGTTAAAAAAGTACCAGGAACTTTAATTGTTTAATTGTATTTGTAAATGAAAATGTTATAATTATTGAAAAACAACACCTAAAGTGCATTATGATGATTTAAATAATGTGCAGTTTGCCCAAAAACGTGCAGTCCCTGGCATATGTCTTAGAGATTTCTATGCGGTACGCAGTGTGTTAAGATGGTTCATGCCAAGTGTTGGGAAGGATATGGGGCAATTGGAATGCCCATACATTGCTCAAGGGAATGTAACATTGAACCACTTCGGAAAGCAGTTTGATAGTTTTCTGAAATGTTAAACAGACATCTACCATATGTGCCAGCCATTCCACTTTTCCAGTCTCTTACCCAAGAGAAATGAAAGTACATGTTCATATATAGCAGCATTATTTGTAATAGCCTCGCCTGAGAGCAAGCATCAGCAGTGGGTGAATGGACAAATATATTGTGATATATCCATACAATGGACTGTTTCCTGACAGTAAAAAGTAATAAACTATTGATACCACCAACATGGATGAATGACAAAATAATTATGCTGAGTGAAAGACCAAAGCACATACTGTATGATTCAATTCATATGAAATTCTAGAAAGTACCAACAACTTTATACTGATAGTAACATCAGTGGTTGCATGAAAGTGGGGGGGTCAAAGGAAGCATTTTGGGGTAAAGGATATGTTCATTATCTTAATTGTGGTGATAGTTTCAGGAGTGTAATCATAAGTCAAACTTTATTAAATAGTACACTTTAAACGTAGTTCATTTTATGTTAATGACTCCTTGATAATGATCTTAAAATTTTTTTTTTGAATTTGATCCATTCTATTGGTGCAAACACATGTTTTTCTTGTTTTGAAATAGCATTTTAGGATACATTTTCTATATTTTGGAAATAAGCATCTAATCCTCTCTTTTTTTAGCAGCTATACCATGATTTCTTTCAAGACCATATATTTGTATGTTGCTGGCTCCATCTTTGGCACTATCATGTCCAGTTAAGCCCATCAGTAGTTTGCATTTCCCTGGTCATGGAGACTGGTTCATAGATGGGCTCTTGACCATTTAGAACCAGTGATTCACAATGAACATTTGCTGTCATTTCTGAGACAAAGACTTACAGTAAGGTGAGGACCTCGCAAAATATGGAACCAACAGGGATGGAGCTAAGAGGCTGTGAGAGAGAACATGACCTTGATTATATCATCTAGTCCTACCTGGAAGTGCTTCAATCTAGATCTGTTCTTGACTTCCGGGTAAGAGTCATTAAGTTCTTTTTGCCTAAGCCAATGGGTCAAAAGAGGCCCGATTCCATGGTGGAAGTTACGTTGATGTGACAGTATACCCTTCACATTGAGACTTTACTTTGGGTTTTTATTATATGAGTTTAAGGATAAAGTTAATTAAATGTTTTATCGATAGTAGGAGTAAATAGGGATTTAATAAATAAATTACAGATGCTTCTTAAAGTGGGAAATTTTTATCCACTTCAAAATAGTTTTGCTCCTCTCAAAAATATATGTAGATCTATGAAAATATATTATCTTAAAATATACCTATGAAAATAAATTTATAAAGTAACTTCTTTGGTGTCAGGGAGGGGGGGATAAAATATTTATGGGATTTTTTTAAATCCTAAAACTATTTTCTGACTCTGACCTTTTTCATATGCCCACACTTCAAATCTACTATAAACGATTACATTTTAAGCCATTTAAATTTACTCTTCTACAACTGAGTTTTTTAAAGCATTTTGAGATTCACCTCTAATGTTTGCCAAATATCCAACATGCATCTCTTACTCCTGGAATAATGGTACCAGGTGAATGTTGAGAAAGATTAAGTGTATTAATATTAAAGCAAATACTGCCCTTTCATCTGCCATCTGATTTTTCCCAGGGAAAATGTAATTCAGCAGGCAACATGAATTCAGCCACTGAAATCATGAAAAGAAGGCCTTTGCAAAGAAAGTATATTCTCAGGTTCTTTACTAAATAGCAAATATGTATTCAGTGTTTTTTTTTTTTTTCTGTCTGCAAATATACACATCACTAGAGGAAAAAAAGAGAAAGATGGGGATATCTTAGTGGAGGTACCGGATCATAAAAGTATGAAGTGAATTCTTCTATAATGCTGGTATAATTAGATCTGCTGGGAGGTTCATTACTGGTGCTTCAAGAACCCAATTGGAATCAGAGAAAAACAGCTGGAAAATCAAGAACTTCAAACAACATGGAAAATTTCTGTGGAAAACAGTGTGGCACTTCCTCAAACGGTTAAACACTGGAGTTACGATATGATCTAGCAATCCCACGCCTCCACAGATGCCTGAGGAATAAAAACTTGTACATTAAGTTCATAGTAGCCTTTTTCATAAAAGCCAAAAGTATAAACAACCCACATGGATAAATGGGAAATAATGTGATAGATCCATACAGTGGAATATTACTCAGTAATAAAAAGGAAAAAGGTACTGCCCCTGGCTGGGTGGCTTAGTTGGTTAGAGCATTGTCCTATGCACCAAAAGGGTGCAGGTTCGATTCCTAGTCAGGGTACATACCTAGGTTGTGGGTTCAATCCTCTGGTCAGGGGGTGTACAGGAGGCAATCGATCAATATTTCTCCAATTGATATTTCTCTCTCCCACTCTCTAAAAATCAATGAAAACATATCTTCGGGCGAGGATTAAAAAAAAAAAAAAAAAGAATGAAGTACTGAAACTTGCTACAATGTGTATGAACCTTGAAAACATTATGCTAAGTAGAAAAAAGCCTAAAAATAGGCTATGTGTTGTATGATTTCATTTATGTGAATAGGTAGATCAGTAGAGAAGGAAAGCAAATTGTTTGCCAAGGGCTGGGGGAACTATGGTGACTGCTAATGGGTATACAGTATTGGGGTGAGTGATGATAAAAATGTTCTAAAATTGATTTTGGTGATGGCTGCACAATTCTGATTACACTAAAAATCATTGACTTATATACTTTAAGAGGATGGAGTAGTATCCTATATAATAAAAGGCTAATATGCAAATCAAACAGCAGAATGACCGGTCGCTATGATGCTCACCGACCACCAGGGGCAGACACTCAACACAGGAGCTGCCCCCTGGTGGTCAGTGCGCTCCCACAGGGGGAGCGCCTCTCAGCCAGAAGCCAAGCTCACGGCTGGCAAGCGCAACGGTGGTGGTGGGGGTGGTGGTGGGAGCCTCTCCCACCTCTGCGGTAGCGCTAAGCCATCAGTCAGTCATCCCCCGAGGGCTCCTGGACTGGAAGAGGGTACAGGCCGGGCTGAGGGACCCCTCCCCCACAGTGCACGAATTTTGTGCACCGGGCCTCTAGTATCTTAATGAAGCCATTATAGAAACAAAACAACATGAAAGGGCTAAGAACGTCTCAAAAGTCATCTCTCATGCTAAATATGTATGGATTTTTTAAACTATTGGTATTTTCACCTTCATCTTATTGACCTACCTTATTTTTAAAGAAATTAACTTTTTTTTAGCAGGGAAATTGTTAAAAATCAAGCTGTTCATAAAGTTTTATTGGAGGAAGTTGATTAGATAAAGTGGTGATACCCTCTCTTCCAAAAGCAAGTGAACATGTATTGTAGGATCTTTAGCAGCATCCCTGACTTCTACCCACCCAATACTAGCATGCTTGCCCAATTGAGATAACCAGATGTCTTCAGACAATGCTAAATGATTCTGGGGAACAAAATTGTCCATGGTTGAGAATCACTGTGATAGAGTTTTGAGTTTATGAGAGCAGACAAGGTAGAAATAAGACTGGAATATAAAGCTGAGGCCAGATTGGTAAATCCTTAAATATTAAAGATCTTTGAGTTTAATTTGAAAACAATAGGGAACTATAGAAAGTTTGGGGCTGAGGAACAGTGAGATTAAAGTGGTGCTTAAAAAATTTCATCTGTAAATGTATGTAGACAATGGAAAAATTGGAGACATGAGACCAGCAAGAGGGCCATTATAATCATCCTTGCAAAAAATAAAAACAAAAACAAGCAAACCAACAAAAAAAACAGCAACAAAACACATGAGAAACTGAGCTGGAGTAATGACGGTGGCAGTCAAGAAGAA